CATCATCATCAGTAGACGGCCGAGCAATCATCACGCCCGAGCCCACCACCCGTGATGAAAGTTAAACAGGTCAGAGCCCGCGTGCCGTCCAACAAACTATCCACGCGCAAGAAGACAGTTAACGTTAATATACAGTAATTCTGTGAAATTCACTACTGCTCTATGTGTCCTCGTTATCATTCTTATGCAGCGACAAGTAGCAGCTGATGAGCTGTCTCTAAATTTGTTGATATCAATAAATTCTGCTGTTTTTGCCTGCCAGCAATTTGTACCAGGGAAAAAATGCTTCAAATTTCTCAAACAGCACCTCCACTTGCATTTAATAAAGTATCGGGATAGACTTTTAAAATTGCGTTCAAAATAACGAAGGACAGTACACACATTAAATTTCTTTAGAACTGCATTAGTAGCAAGGAATATCCAGTGGAATTCTACAAGGTCCTCCGTCGAGGAAAATTGCGTCCAACCATTAAAATCTGGACCGTCTTGCGCAATCAAGAATTGAAGACTTGCTGGCGCATGTCTGTGCCAACAAATATCGCTTGGATCAGACACAGCTTGTTTTGGATATGATAATTTTCTTCTGTTGGTTAATGTTCATGAAACGTGCACAGATGAACTTATTCTCATCCGACATCCCACATCACACTTACTAAGCTCCAATCAGAGGCTTTATCATTAGGACTAGAGTTTTGCGTTTCAAACCGGATAATAAACCCAATTGAAATTGAGGCGCAATTTGAAGACCTAAATTCTCAGCTAGCAGATCTATTACCCCGATCCACTGGTGATGTGATCTGGGTGAAGGCAAATTTTCTCGACATTGCGCATCAGTACCGCAAAGCTCCAGTAACACAACTGGCACCACTGACTAAAGAACACATGGCTGCTCTTTTTGCACTGAAACACAGTGAAGAAATCACCATTTTAAAACCCGATAAAGGCCATGGAGTGATCATCCTTAACCGGAAGGGCTATATAAGAAAAATGGAATCTATTTTAAGCGATCAGAGCAAATTTCGCCTAGAGACGACAGGTAAAGAGAAAACTAAGGCAACAGAAAATGATGTCTGGAAAATGATTAAACAATTGTCAGACAATAACCTTATTGACTCTTCAACTGCGCTTTCCCTAAAGCCCAGAGGTACGCATATCCCTAGACTATACGGACTACCCAAAACTCACAAAAAGGACATACCTTTACGAGTAATTCTCTCTATGTCCAATTCCCATCAAAATAACTTAGCCCAATGGCTTGTAAAGGAAATATAGCCCATTTGAGAACGGTTCTCCACGTACATTACGAAGGACACTTTTCATTTAATCGAGGACATCAAGCTCCAAAAAGTTATTGATAAATTTATGATTTCACTAGACATCGAATCACTATTTACAAATGTACCACTGGACGAAATAATAGACATTATTTGTGACCATGCGTCAGAAACTCGCCTGTCGCCTGCAATACTGCGCCGATTACTGTTAGTGTGTACCAAAAATGTTCAATTTCTATTAAATGGACAATTTTACAGACAAATTGACGGAGTCGCAATGAGTAGTCCCCTAGGGCCCACATCATCTAGAAGAAAAGGAGTCATCAAGACTTAACAAGACAAGCTTATATACAAGATATGTGGATGATATTTTCACAATTGTTGATTCCAAGGAAGACGCCGATGACCTC